CCTCGGTACTGTTAAGCTATTGATGTCTATCGGTTATTATCTTGCGGAATCTAGGCTCAGACTAGTAATATTTATTACCAGTCTGAGGGAAAGTGATTCAATCATGTGCTCCACAGACACAACACATATTTAATTGTTTAATGCGACGCGGCTCGTTACGCGTCAAATCGTAGTGAGAGATGGGCGTGATTTCGTCATTGTTCAAGAGACGATACTATTTCGTAATGGGTAAATCCCACTGATCCTAGCATATTAGGCATACGTATGTGGTAAGTTTAAGGGGATTGCAGTATGGGATAGTTGAACCAATCAGATATATAAAGTACTTTGATTTCTATTGTAATTTCAAACATAGAATGTATCAAAGAGAATATAATTTAATCCCAGTCCCTCTGTAGATAGACCTCCAAGCTACTGCAGATAAATAGACTGTGTCTTAAATGTTTTAAATGTGAAACTGCACTGTAATTGTCGCTTATCGGTCTCAACTTGTGATGTTATCTCGCATCTTACAATCATAATTTATCGAAAACCTGAACTTCTTTTATATATTATTTTATGATATATTTCAAAATATTTTCAGCAGCATCTCCCGTTACCCAGTATTTTGAAAATATTAGCATTGCCTTTCTGCTATTTTCTAGAGATATTGATTGACAATTGATTGGTCGAATCCTTGAGATACGTTATTTCCAGATACAAATACAATTAGCCGTTGATTATAAATGGGACTTTTTACTTGACCACATATTACGTAATTGCCATGCTGCCATTGACGTAAAACTTAATAACATTTGTCACAGATTAAAAATTGGGAATTTATTCACAATTCTGGACGCACCAATCTACCGTTGTAATCGCATGCATTAGTAATGTTTGTATCAATATTATTATTATTATCATCAATAATGTACGCGTGACGTCATGTACTCTGATTGGTACGATCTACAATAAAAAACGGTCGTTGTGCAGACTGACAGAAGATCGCCCACACAAGCACCGTCAGCGGAGCTCTAACAGTCGACAGTGTTATCAAACGTATAAGATGGAATATATTGCCTTACAGGTCGTGTCACATTGCTTTGTACTGGCTGTGTTGTTTCCAGTACGCTTTGTATAGTCAGGGAATATTCACTGCATGGTACAGGACAGCGTGGATGCGTTGTTCTACACTGCATCTTGAAGTTCTTTGTATTGTAAATGCCATGATATGAACATATCAGAAAATTCGTCAGTATTTCAGTCAAAATTTTAACACAGAGCGGGATCGAAAATGACGTTATTCACTCGAGTGGTGTGGTTTACTCTGATTTTTTTCTCGTCTACGTTTTCTTTGACATCGGAAACAAATGTGTTGTTAAAGCCCAAAGGTGAGTGGAATAATATACAGTTTTAGTCACAAGCTTAAATACATTGGCATTGGCGCAGTAAATACATTGGTATTGGTGCAGTAAATACATTGGCATTGGCACAGTAAATACATTGGCATTGGTGCAGTAAATACGTTGGCATTGGCGCAGTAAATACATTGGCATTGGCACAGTAAATACATTGGCATTGGCGCAGTAAATACGTTGGCATTGGCGCAGTAAATACATTGGCATTGGCACAGTAAATACATTGGTATTGGCGCAGTAAATACATTGGCATTGGCACAGTAAATACATTGGCATTGGCGTAGTAAATACATTGGTATTGGTGCAGTAAATACATTGGCATTGGCACAGTAAATACATTGGCATTGGCGCATTGGCGCAATAAATACGTTGGCATTGGCGCAGTAAATACATTGGCATTGACACAGTAAATACGTTGGCATTGGCACAGTAAATACATTGGTATTGGCGCAGTAAATACATTGGCATTGGCACAGTAAATACATTGGCATTGGCGCAGTAAATACATTGGTATTGGCGCAGTAAATACATTGGCATTGGCACAGTAAATACATTGGCATTGGCGCAGTAAATACGTTGGCATTGGCGCAGTAAATACACTGGTATTGGCGCAGTAAATACGTTGGCATTGGCGCAGTAAATACATTGGTATTGGCGCAGTAAATACATTGGCATTGGCACAGTAAATACATTGGCATCGGCACAGTAAATACATTGGTATTGGCGCAGTAAATACATTGGCATTGGCGCAGTAAATACATTGGCATCGGCACAGTAAATACATTGGTATTGGCGCAGTAAATACATTGGTATTGGCGCAGTAAATACATTGGCGCAGTAAATACATTGGCATTGGCGCAGTAAATGCATTAGCATTGGCGCAGTAAATACATTGGCATTGGCGCAGTAAATACATCGGCATTGGCGCAGTAAATACATTGGCATTGGCGCAGTAAATGCATTGGCATTGGCACAGTAAATACATTGGCATTGGCGCAGTAAACACATTGGCATTGGCACAGTAAATACATTGGCATTGGCGCAGTAAATACATTGGCATTGACGCAGTGAATATATAGGAATCGGCGCAGTAAATGCATTGGTATTGGCGCAGTAAATACGTTGGCATTGGCGCAGTAAATACATTGGTATTGGCGCAGTAAATACATTGGCATTGGCGCAGTAAATACGTTGGCATCGGCACAGTAAATACATTGGCATTGGCGCAGTAAATACATTGGTATTGGCGCAGTAAATACATTGGCATTGGCACAGTAAATACATTGGCATTGGCGCAGTAAATACGTTGGCATTGGCGCAGTAAATACACTGGTATTGGCGCAGTAAATACATTGGTATTGGCGCAGTAAATACATTGGCATTGGCGCAGTAAATACATTGGCATTGGCGCAGTAAATACATTGGCATTGGCGCAGTAAATACATTGGTATTGGAGCGGTAAATACATTGGCATTGGCGCAGTAAATACATTGGTATTGGCGCAGTAAATATATTGGCATTGGCGCAGTAAATATATTGGCATTGGCGCAGTAAATACATTGGCATTGGCGCAGTAAATACATTGACATTGGCGCAGTAAATACATTGGCATTGGCGCAGTAAATACATTGGCATTGGCACAGTAAACACATTGGCATTGGCACAGTAAATACATTGGCATTGGCGCAGTAAATGCGATGGCATTGGCGCAATAAATACATTGGCATTGGCACAGTAAATACATTGGCATTGGCACAGTAAATACATTGGCATTGGCGCAGTAAATACATTGGCATTGGCGCAGTAAATACATTGGCATTGGCGCAGTAAATACATTGGCGTTGGCGCAGTAAATACATTGGTATTGGCGCAGTAAATACATTGGCATTGGCGCAGTAAATGCATTGGCATTGGCGCAGTAAATACATTGGCATTGGCGCAGTAAATACATCGGCATTGGCGCAGTAAATATATTGGCATTGGCGCAGTAAATGCATTGGCATTGGCACAGTAAATACATTGGCATTGGCGCAGTAAACACATTGGCATTGGCACAGTAAATACATTGGCATTGGCGCAGTAAATACATTGGCATTGGCGCAGTGAATATATAGGCATCGGCGCAGTAAATGCATTGGCATGATTACGTTGCACGCATAGAGTGTAGTTGTCAAATGATGTTTGGGATTGGATTATTTCAACAACAGCAATAATATTGATACTGTACTTCGGCCATGTTTTCCATCAGTTAGCATATAAACAGTTTCTTTCAATTTATTTATAATGATCGGTAGAATCAGTAAGTAATTATAGTTTAATGAAGATTCATCATTCTCTACACGGTTCCACAGCAATATTACAGCATTTTACAATCAAGAGTTATCTTTAAAGACAATGACGTATGAAGACAATATATTTAATGGATGGGTATATTTTAGGATATTTATCATGATATATCAAGTATGTCCCTTTATTTTGTAGATTCTTGTCGAAATGAATCCACCGTTCTGAGTGGAGAGAATGGTTTAATAACGGTTTACAACGCTGTTGCCAAACGAAACTGTGTTTTTCTCATCTCTGTGCCTGAGCGCCGTTACATTGAGGTAACGTACGTGTTCTGAGTTTACTGTTATTGTATGCGTGTCCTTGCCTGCAATTAAGCACTGCTTCAAACACATGTTTTGTTACAATCGTCGAAAGGTGTGAATAGCAATTTCCATGTAATTTCACTCTGCTTAGTTTATGGTTTACTGCACAGGAAGCAATAGTTTATCTTCCCAGAGTCCCTCGCTATTAGTGACCATTTAAGTGCCTTTTGTACGCGCCGCATTCACAGGTTGTCTCCGCAACACCAACATTAATGACCTCTTTTCGATTTTCCGAAAAGCAAAAATTAAAAAAAAACGCGTTTTTGTATATTCGGAAGTCAGACTGAGGTTGCCAAGCAACGATAATAACTTGAAAATATCAGAATTATGTTCCACAGTCAATACCGCTTATAATGTGTTGGTTAGTTGTACACTGCAAAGTCGTTTGATTTAGATATGCAAATGAATCACAGAACAATACAGACTCCATTGCCACAACCATATGGATAAATGTTAAGCGGTTGCCTGGATGCAAAAATATCATTTTATTAAAATCCTACCGTTTGAGAATACTCACATGTAGCCTGACAAATCCACTTAACATACCCTACTGCGCAGACTCACACACCCAACAGTTTTATACACAATATAGCAGTAATGACGTAATATAGCAAAAGTCATTGAACCGAAGATAACACAATTATAATCACTCTACATAGCTTAAGAAAACTAGAAAATAGTCTTTTTTTGAATAAAATATCAGTTTGTTCAAAAATAGTATACACACTGTGTATGTAACATAAAACTGATTAAAGGGAATTTGAATGCAGCACTGTGTTTAAGAGTGATTGCCGATACATGCTGGGGGTGACATGCAGAACATGTCAAAATGCTCGTCAATTATTGGCGCCCTCAGGCGATCACACTATAATTTATAAAATATATGTGTTTTCAGGGGGAATTGACTTCTTTATTGCACATAGATGTTGACATGTAACGTGAAAACTAATAACCGGGCAATGGCACAGAAATATGATATGATATGATATGATATGATATGATATGATATGATATGATATGATATGATATGATATGATATGATATGATATGATATGATATGCCCTCAGCGGCATGAGTTATTATAGACAGGGACAAACGGCTCCCCGGGGATCGGGCAGAGTAACGGAAGCCCAATCGGAAGAGAATGGAACTGAGTCTAGCATGTAAGCCTTAGTTGTTCAATGTCATTTAACCGTTATTGATCTATTTTACGGTATTATAATAAACTTCATTATGACAAAATAGAACCAATTCCTGATGGTTTCACGTAATTATTTTGTATTTGTTAGACCGCAGTGTTTATTGCTTTAGTTACTGAATTTACAGCTATCAATGTCTGATGTTTTTGAACTCGTAGAATTTCAATATTTTCATCAGGATGATGTATCAATGTTCATATCATAATGCTTGATCTGTTGACAAACAGTGAAGCATCAAATAATTCGAATACAATTAAAACTAATAAGTTGATATAAATGTGCCTGGTTGTCATTATGAACGAAGTAAAATTAACAGAAAGTTAATTTGGAATAAGTACACATAATTTCACACTGCGTGGTTTTAAATTTATGAGATGGGAAAACAGTTGACCTTGGCGTTCAAAGGATTAAACCATAATATCAAAGAAAGAACTCCTGTATGCTGGCGGTATTATAGGAATGGATTTTAATATATTTTGATATCCGTAATTTATTACCATCGTAAATAAATATTATGAGGGCATATAAAAGAAAAAATCTGACTAAAATTGATAGGTTTCCACATATGTTTTTTTTTTTTTTTACAAATACTGAGTCTAGTTGCAGAGAGCTGTGTACACATTTTAGAAAACTTACAATTTTTTAGAATTATAGTTTATATTTCACTGCTTTTAGGTAATTTGGTTTCAATGCTGTAAAATAGAAGGAATTAGTTAATTATTGATCAATAAAGAAACTATATTTTGTAATTTTTCACCCTGTATGCACAAATTAGAGATAAAATAAGGGAGTTGTTAGTATATGAACCAATAGTAAAACATGGTTTCAAATGGTATATGACTTCTTATCAATATTTCTTGAAAAAATAATATGAGGACTCCAACCTTGTTTACGCCAGTCTTTTCAATATTAGGTTGGATAATTTTAACTAATAAGTAGGCTTTTGTTGTCCACGTAGCGTCAAACAGCACCACAACTGTCGTACTTCGTCGTGGTTAACGTGGGTCCCAAACATGGTGGATATCATATTAATCATATTTTTTTTTTAGATTCGGCTACCCCTTCTAAATTCTATTGGTTCCACTCCAATCAAAATACCTACTGATAAAAATAACTTTACAAGTCACACAATGTCGTATGTATCTGCTCATTCAATAGCTTGGCATTCAACGATACAGTATACTTCATTTTTGAAGATTTTCATTAATAAATTTGCATTTTAATTTGAATGTAAGTAGTAGTATTGTATGAAATTAATCTGCCATATGTTTTTATTTGTGGTGTTTACTGAAGCTAGTATGCAATTACCTATATAGTGAGTATTCACTTTCGTTGTCTGTAGATTGTCACCACACTCGTTCAACAACTACGCGTACGTAATATATTATACTAACCATGCGCATTATGCTATCCAGGGGAATTTTGTGTATTCACCATGAATTTTAACACATACCCGACATATCCGCCTTTACCAAATATCCCGGGCCAACTTGAAATACACACATGCTAAATTCTGTGCCGTTATAATAATCCGAGACAGGTAAAAAAAAAATTGGGGGGGGGGGTAAACAAATTATGAACTTAGGAGGTCTCTTTAAAGTCATTAGCGATTTTCTTAATATTTGGGTACGTACAAGATTCTCTTTTGCATGTCATCATCTTCTAGTAACCATGACAACGCCCATGGCAACCATGCTTAAAAGTGTTGTTTTTCATAATATAATAAGAATAACATGGAACAACATAGCATATGTACTATGAGTCACTGTTCTTAAGTACATAAGTTTGGAAGGATATGGTGGTCACGTGACTTCATTAGTATGCATAATGCATATTACAAACCATTTTAGATACAGGTATTCTTCCTCGTGGGTAATCAACATTCATCACGGGAGGGAGGTTGGCGTGTCTATAGTTACCAAGCTAACGTCCATAGCAACCAACAACAAAACAGCATGTTTGGAAAACATAACATTTATTATAGTGAGTATACTTTTGACACCAGGTGGACATGCCCTATCAACCACTGGCATATACTTAGCAACGTGGGTTCAATAGCCTATAGGCCCGAGCCGACCATTGCTGCTCGCAGTTATATTTCGTGAATAAAACTGATTTTTTTCTCCATGTGTAAGACGCTTATCAGATTGTACAGTTGAAAATTGAGCAGTTTTAAGATTTCGTTTTTCAATACGCCTTTCATATATGCCGCGTCCTCTGTGACGATTCTGTGACGTCAAATGTCGCTCGTCATGTAGCTCGTCTTTGAACATATAAAAAATCTTTAAAAACATATTGTATAGGCGGACACCAACAGATAAAAAAAATCGCCACGCCGTTCTTTATACCAATTTACGTCATAGAAGCATTTCGTCGCTAGAGGGCGGAAGTTATGGGGACGAAGTATTATCGATCTCGTTATTTTGTTCACAATAAAATGTTTACATAGGCAATATGAAACGCATCCTGCCGAGAACAAATGCTTTCCGAACCGATCTCACTATTTGTGTTAACTGAAAACGTGACATTTTCATTTATATTGAGTCGTACTAGATTGGTATTCACATGATTCTATGGTGTACTGCTTTCTATTTCATTTTTTAATTCCGAACACGTATAAAGTTATTCTACTTGTGTGAACAAATACAGAGAAATTGAACAGAAAGCGCCAATTATTAAATCGTTGGCATGGCAACTCTGACAGTCACGTATGAGTGTGTATAAATATAACATTCTTTCTTTTCAAATTAGAAGAAGTCTGTATTCTCGTATTTTATTCTCTGTTTCTTCCTTCCGAAAAATCATTTTTTTTTCGTTTCAGATCAACAATATCGAATTTCAGAACAGTGATCAGTCGTGTGCCCAGCAGCATGTCGCACTATATGATGGCGAGAACGAGCACTCGCCGTTGATGGCGCGGTTCTGTCGTGATCAGCATGTGCACCCTCCAAATATCGGATTTGCGTCAAGCGGAAGACACGTGTACCTTGTTGTAACGCAGGGAGGTGTGACAGGGAATCTAACTACGTTTTACTTTCAAACATCATATAAGATATGGCGGAAACCGCCACCCGTGCCCTTTGCATGTGAGTATCTGTAGGAATCTCAAACTAGCCATGCGTCAAGATATCGTAATAATGTAATCAAATATCCATAACTAGTGTCAACATAATAAAGAATAAAGCTTCTCTTTATATTTGCTACTTTCAGCATCCTAGTAGTAAGCACTGGCATAGTCACGTGCACTGGGCATACTTACTGTGTAGATTTACGATACACTGCCCTCTAGTGACATGCATGAATTATCATTGTTCGTGTGGAATGATTTTGTTATCCTATATATATTGCAGTATGCACGGACTATGATGGAATTAGATCGCCCTCTAGCGTACGTGGTGGATTAATTACTGCCCATGATGGCTATCCTCAGCCATACAACTCAGCTAATACGTCATGCAATCTTTCTATTACTGGAACTGATCCAGACGAAAGGATTTATTTAAATTTCATGGAAATGTCCACACATGGGAATGGTAAGATAATACAAAGTGAGACAATAGTATAGTTTATCGAGTTCTTGTCTGTACATTTACAATAAGTAGCACCCTCTTGTGCCGGAGTGTCTCTATGACGTAGATATAAGAACGTCTTTCACGGTGTCAAATCGAAACAACATTACTTACACCCACCCCGCCATTTGACCGTCTTTCCAGGGTGTTCCATATTTTCTTCTATCAAACAAGAACGACGCCATCTTTAAAAAAAAAAACGTTCACGTTTTGCAAATCACCTTGCAATAAGTTCTGTTAGAAAACAGATAATTAACCATTGTTGTGTGATTGCTATTCAGAAAAAGAGAATTCTGGTTGCCTCCTTGTTACCAACGACGATCCATCTTCGCCACCAAATATTGTAGGAAAGTTTTGTGGAGGAGTCGCATTCAATAATATCACACCAAAGTCTTCCAATTTGGTTCTTACACTCACAAGTCGTTCATCTGACTCAACCTCAACCTGGAGTGTGGACTTTTTAGCAGCGTTTACAATATATTATATTGCAGGTAAGAATGTCTACCAAAACCGACTAAATTCAAGACACTGTCAAATGCATGTATCCATGGAAACAACTTTATGTGGTATTCGACATCAATAAATTTCACTTTTATGATTCACTAGGGCTATAGACCTTAAAAGTTCTATTTTGAAAACTGGGATGGGCTGGGGGACTTGGGGTCCAAAAAATCACACCATCTATGTTAATCACGACAGTTTGTGCTCACTTAGTCATGGTATTAAGCAAATGAGTGAATAAACACCCTCTGAACGCCATAATTTGTCTCGCAAAAATGTTGGTGCCAAATTTGTCATATTTTATGTGTTATCTTGCTTTTCATTTCTTGTTTAATTTTGGGCCAAATAAACTTCATTTACCATCTTAATATATTTTATGAGACAAGGACAAATTTATGCAGATTTCATGATTTTTTGAAAGGTGATAACAGTTGGCTGGCCTTCGAAGGATTAAAATATCAATTTCTATAACAATTGTGACTCAAATCAACAACAATATTCGGAATATTTGGCTTTCATGTGTAAATAATAATATTAACTCGGCGACTTAACCGCCGCACATTGGTTGATTCTTATTTTAAAATTATAGCAACAAAATCGTTAATTTGGAAATAATTAATCAGTGTTTATTCGTACATTCGCTACTTTTTAACTGTCAGTTGACAACAATGTTAAAACATTGCGATTCCAAATCCAATGGATATTTTATCGCCTTTATTGACCACAAATGAGAAACAAATCGAAGGATTCCAGGACCCTCGTCAAAACCTTGTCAGTGTTGTTTTCCATATGACATCCCTTTGGGTGATTTATTTTTATATTCCCATCAATAATTTCATATGCGATTTCAAATTCCGGACCCATCCATACATTTCACAACAACAACAACAACAACAACAACACAATGAATTATTACTTATGGTCCTAAGTACGATATGCCGGCAACCTGTGGATGGCTAGTATGAGCGAGCACACGGTATATCTCATGATATGCCGGCAACCTATGGAAGGCTAGTATGAGCGAGCACACGGTATATCTCACGATATGCCGACAACCTATGGAAGGCAAGTATGAGCGAGCACACGGTATATCTAAAGATATGCCGACAACCTGTGGAAAGCTCGTATGAGCGAGGCGAGTGGGACACAATTTTCTAAGAACTGATTAACGGCAAGAAAAACCAAAAAAATCGACATATTCAAACTAAAATACAAATAAAAATAGTATAAAGGGTTATATATAAAAAAAAAAAAATATATTAAAAAAAAAAAATGGAGCCTCATACCTACATCGGATTTTAATCAGATTGGATGGCTAGTATGAGCGAGCACACAGTATATCTCATGATATGCCGGCAACCTATGGATGGCTAGTATGAGCGAGCACACGGTATATCTCATGATATGCCGGCAACCTGTGGATGGCTAGTATGAGCGAGTACACGGTATATCTCACGATATGGCTAGTATGAGCGAGCACACGGTATATCTCACGATATGCCGACAACCTATGGATGGCTAGTATGAGCGAGCACACGGTATATCTCACGATATGGCTAGTATGAGCGAGCACACGGTATATCTCACGATATGCCGACAACCTATGGAAGGCTAGTATGAGCGAGCACACGGTATATCTCACGATATGGCTAGTATGAGCGAGCACACGGTATATCTCACGATATGCCGACAATCTATGGATGGCTAGAATGAGCGAGCACACAGTATATCTCACGATATGCCGACAACCTATGGAAGGCTAGTATGAGCGAGTACACGGTATATCTCACGATATGGCTAGTATGAGTGAGCATACAGTATATCTCACGATATGCCGACAACCTATGGAAGGCTAGAATGAGCGAGCACACGGTATATCTCACGATATGCCGACAACCTATGGAAGGCTAGAATGAGCGAGCACACGGTATATCTCACGATATATCGACAACCTATGGAAGGCTAGTATGAGCGAGCACACAGTATATCTCACGATATATCGACAACCTATGGAAGGCTAGTATGAGCGAGCACACGGTATATCTCACGATATATCGACAACCTATGGAAGGCTAGTATGAGCGAGCACACGGTATATCTCACGATATGCCGACAACATGTGGATGGCTACTATGAGCGAGCACACGGTATATCTCACGATATGCCGACAACCTGTGGATGGCTAGTATGAACGAGCACACGGTATATCTCACGATATATCGACAACCTATGGAAGGCTAGTATGAGCGAGCACACAGTATATCTCTTTGTGTTTTATAGATCCTGTTACTGGTCACTGTAAAAATGGAAGCAACGATTTTCAGTGTCGTAATGATTGGTGCGTTGCACGCTGGATGAGATGTGACGGGTCATATCACTGCTCCGACCATTCAGATGAAGACTTCTGTGGTAATATTTTATTACCCATTCCCGACAAAATCAAAATGCCCAAAACATTTTTGCGCGGTGGATTCAAATTTTTCAATGTAATTTTCAGGGTTGCTCTGATGGTGGCAGACGAGTAATACTTTCACTTCGCAGTGTTTGTTGTGTCAAGTAAATTTCTTAGAATAAAAACATTTTATGAACCAGACTTAAATCTGATATATGTACAATATTGATTATGATTTAGAATCAGTTGTAATTTAAACATCTGGTTCTGAAATTTATGATTCGCTAAATATCTATTTTAGTATTATTTGACATGGACGTGGGACGATTAGGAAAATAATCTTTGTCTGGTTTATACTAGTGATTTAATAGAATTTTTAAAACTCATATATAACTGCACAGTTGGTGCAAAGCGGCATGGTATAACGTTACGAGTAACGATATACTTAATAAGTTTCGTGCATTGTCGTCATATATATGAACGATACAGTGATTTACTGGGGGAGGGAGGGAGGGAGGGAGGGAGGGAGGGTGCATATGAAGAGATGTATCTAGCTTCAGATAGATAAACGAATAAAAAAATGCTCCAAGATGTTGAGTTGCGAAACAACTAGTTTCAATCTAATCGCATGTCACAGGATGACGTCTATACCATAATTTGTCTAATTTCAGCAGTATAGAAAACTATACAGTAAACTGTTGTATTTCCGTTGATATTAGTAATTAGCTATATTACTATCGATTGTTGTGGATTTTTTTACTAATCACAGACGTTTTTCTTTAGATATGATGCCAGCTACATCGTACGTTGCCATTTTGTCTGGCACCGGATTAGGTTTACTCGGAGTTTGGAGCTTTATAATGGTGCTGTTATTTGTTCGTTCCAGTGGGGCTAGAGAAGCGCAATTCAGTTACTGTGGTCGTCGTAAGCAAAGGTGAGATGATCAACATGGTTACTATCACCAAACTTGCGTAAATATATTATATTTTTGAAGCACCGTATTTAAATTGCATATATTTGTCAAGTAACATAATATTCGATTGAAGATCGTTTACTGTAAATTCCTAACTCCCAGATTGTATGGTGGTCATCATTACAACAAAACTATATGCAAATAAGAATACTATCTGTATTGCATCCTTAGAAATACAACTGTTCTATCGATTTATAACAATATGCATATAAATAAATAAATAAATATAAAAGAACAAAGTTAATATGTTACTTTAGAAAACATGTTAACGTTTTAGAACATATTTTATTCAGCATGAACGGCACTCGATTCACTTTATGTCGCAATTACCGGCACCTGCATTCTCTAGTCTCTTTTATTGTATACACTTCGTACGTCTATCGTACATCTGTCAATAACGATTAATTTTTAAATTCCGGAAGGCCAATGAACTCTCTTGTAAATAATTGAAGTAATGAAATCATGTTCAATATCTTGATCACGTGATTCGTAACTCGTGAAGGGAATTTATAGGTTTGTAAACTGTGAAAAATATACGACAAATAGATGGACTTACATATCATTGAGGTAAAAAATAAGAAGTAGGGTCAGGTGTTTCGAAAGAAGTGTATAATCAAGTGACACCTCCGCGAATTTTTTGTTCGGTGAGTGTCATTCACCAACTGTATTAAACAAATATTTCCCTTTCTTTACAGATCAAATCGTTCGTGGAATAGTAACCATGGTAATACAAAAAGCGGCGATAACGAGTCATGTGCGTATAATTGCAATGAGAATGGGAACAAGTTACACGTAGTACCCGCGCCCAGTGAACGTTCTTTACTGACACAAAACAACGTTCTTGTTTGTGAGAAGCCTGGCATGTCAGCTTCCATTTCATGCCTTGATATCTTGGAGGAGGAGGGAATACTGTGAACACACGTATCACAACACAACATTTTGTTTACAGCACACCCAGATAACATTTCAATTTTATCTAGTTTTGTGTACTTTCTATGCCACAAATATTTGTCTGGATTTGAATTTTATCCATTGTGATGCTTTTTGTATTAAAATAATAGCGGTCTTGGTACGTAAACACATGAGAGTCATTAATGTTTGGGATTATGCGTAGTTGCAGACGATCAACTTAAAACGACACAAACTTAAAACCGGCACGATTTGCTGACGACAACTGTCGTGTAGAAGACAACGACAACAAGTATGATTTGATAATTATCACAGCCATCGTTGATTTGAAATCCATTACCGGATAGAGGTTTTATTGTATAGTCGATTGCCGCTTAGTAATCTACTCAAAACATTGTTTTTACTGACGCTCAACTGCATTCTCCTTCCCAGAGCACCTTGCTGTTAGAACACAGTATATATTTGTAGAAATAGAGCTCTGCGTGGGTGCCTGGGTAGACTGCGGATAGTATTGACGTTCTGAGAACAGCAATTCAGTATCGACGAAAACATATATTTATTGATGTTGTTGTTGTTCGATACTCCATACAGTAGACCAAATTCGGTTATGATTTATCATAAATTTAAAATGTTTCGATTGCGGGACACAAAACAGTATTCGTTTGATAAAAAATCAAAACTACTAATACGCATGTGCAATGATTGTTATTGTACGTACCAAATACGCATCCACATACGTATTGGAGAATTTCAGTGTTTCATAAACGAATGTCAAAACGAACAACGATTTCATGCCACGATAAATGATAATCCATTGTAGTCATCAACTAGCAGTATTAAAGAACAATACTGAAATTAAATGTTTATCTTTAATAGGAAATATATACTAACAACATGGTGTGCATTCGATTTGCACTCAGACAGCCATTTGAGATTTGATGATTGGTTTGATTGGTCATTATTGATACAGAGGCTCTAGCAAAACGCGTAACCATAATCATGATTCATTTTTATCACGCTTTTATTTAATTTTACAAAATGACAACACCAAATATGAGTGAAAAATCACACGAAATAACAGAAACTATGTTGTCACAAAATATGTTTGCATGCCACTAGCAAATTTGTTGACGACCTTTCCATATTTGTATATAAAGCCGCTAGTCTTATGAACTTGATCTTTAATAATGTTGATAATAACGGCTCAAAGAATTATTATTATGGATAACACTCAAGATCGTGATTGGCTAATCACGACCATGACTGAAACAAACTCATCCTTGCGTATATAGGACGCAGACCTATGTCACAGTGCGTTAAGAGAAAATGGGCGTGACGGCGGGAGAAAATTGAACACCAAAACAAATCTCGTGGCCTCTCGCTTTCAGTGAGACATCGACGGACATGTCATGAATTAGTTTTCGCGTATCTGTTGACCGACTTAATTAGTTGATTATTAGCGAATTGCTGTGTTATGTCTGTCATCTTTTAGGCAGCGATGTCCTGGACGGAACTCGACTCAGTGATTTGGAACTAATTACGAGATAACCGTCGCTATTCTGACTACGATTTCTGACAGTTGGTATCCGTAGTTATTAATGTAGTGAACGATTAATCAAAAGATATGACGTATTCAGTACTTAGTGTGATTGGCTTTATGATTGAAGGTTACGCCTTAGAGTCTTTTTACTGCTTTGTAATTGGTTAGAGTTTTGAAAATGAATAAAGAGAGTTTTAGTTGGTCTTGGTGAGTAGACCAGGACAAGTCGAGTCCTGGAGAGCCTTGGGGCGAGTGTTGACGCAGTCAATGAACATGAACATGAACATGTGCACAATGCACAATGAACATGTTAATACCACGTAATTATTATGCGAATTACAGATAAAAAAAAGTTCAGCTACAAACAATATTTATGTATCTGGTGATTCAATATACTATATTTGATTAAAATCTGCTATGTAGGTTAGGAGGGAATTAAAGACATAGTCACACTGTTCTAATCGCGGTTTTCTAATGGTGGCTTTGCTTTTATTCTGAAGCAGTGGCCGAATAAACGGATGTGTTCATGTATATATATATGACATTTTAAGCGCATGTACATTAACGTTTTTCATTAATTTAATGATTCGAATACTGCTATGATTGCTAGATAAATCATACTCTATTGTTCGTATATAGATATATCAACAAAAGCGTTCTTAAGGCAAACACAATCGCTATTTCTGGTGGTACAAATACAAAACAAATTAAGTAACTTTCATATTTAAATCAACGTGTGATTCGGTGCCTCTGAAAACAAACTTGAGGGCGTTATTGGGTCGAACGTCAGTCATACATTTATTTCCTCCAGGAATAAAAGAGAAACCCGCATTTTTCTGAAGTGTCACAAACTTATTAGAATTTCTTCGTTCCTGTTATATATAATGGAATGTCTTTACTGTCCTTTTAATACCAAGTTATAGCAATATAGTAAATGACATTTCATTATCGTCGTCCGAATTGCATCCAATCGAAAGTGTAGTTCTGGTAATGTAACAATGGATAGAGAAGTTTACGGTCTTGCTCGTATGAAAATGTATTTTGTCAACAGGTATTAGCGGAGTATGGGGTAAACTATCTAATATACGCATGCGTTGATCTCACAAACAAAGCAAGTCAATAATAAGCAATTTCAGAGAGTTTAATGTACTCTGTTTTGTACCAAGCATGTCGTTTATTGTTGTAAAAGGTGGGCGGGACAAATATGAATTCGTGTCATCTTGGTAAACATGCGTATAGTACAAGACATCTATGAAATGTTAACAGACAAGAAAACTGACAATGAAACTCACGAACGACTGGTTCACCAATCAATTTAGTATGCCGAGTAACGTAGTACCCGAATATGTTATATACCTGCTTCAAGCAGCGCAAGTTCACATTCTCTACCACGTGCGTTCATAAAACTACCCAGAATAAAAACAGCATTCAGCCTTCGTAGCTATAAGCCGATGCATACATTGAACCATGGAACTACCAGATAAAGTTAAGAGCAAACTATGTGTTAACACTAGGGCGCACTAACACTTGATTACTACTACTGATTTGGCAATTAACGACCAAGGGAGCTACGTCACAAGACGTTGGTAAAACGTACACCACTGTACCATGTATTTCTATGGGCGATGCGCAAGCTTCTGCGGAACGCCGGTCGATGTGCCGGTGAAAATAGCTAAATTCGAGAAAACAGCACAAACTCAACCTTAAAGTAATCCTGAACAACCGAATATATATATGTTGCACACGCAAGGGTAATCTTGTTACACTGTTCAAGAGAGTATCAACAACTATCCCAAAATACCGTTTTCTGAGAGTTTTCGGTCTTTGTGTTCACTGTGATGGTTGTCAGGCGGTGAAAATGCCCGGATGTCCGCCCCGAGAATAGTGGCGTAGTAAAACATATTTGATTAAAATTTTCAATGTGTTAAAACGGGGGCAATGATTATAATATAACTCTCTTCTAAGAATGTAAAATATGGACGTAAAAAAGGACGGAACTAAAGTTAAACAAAACGAGAAATAAAAGGTGTAGACCTTAATATGCCTCCCCACATATTATACAACGAACACAAGCACCTACGGATCTCACATTTAAAAAAATCGTGATTTCACGATAGTTACATCTGTTAGTGAATAAATCTTGGCCAGTACACAGCTGGTGATTGAAAACGACATTATAGCAATATCATCGATCGATCACGACGTTTTTTCAAGAAGGTTACTGTAAACAAAAATTGAGTCCAACTTTATAGCATAATTATGTTTACAATATTATAAATATTATCCAAATAACCAAAAAAAAAACTCACCCAATTTGTCTGTAATTTTAAATAGTTCTTATGAAACGACATTTGAATGCATTATCATAACTTTTGAAATTAAAACGTTTATATATATGTTGAATAAAAACACTGATTTGAAATTATTTATTGATGGTACAAAACTGACATTTAATAAGATAAATGCATTTTAAAAAAATATGCTATGATGACGTAATTATAAATCGTTTCTATGTCATGTTTTACTGATCGATTTTATGATATCTCAAAAGTACGTCGCATAATTATTTTTGTAACCGTCATTACAACGTTTACCAAAAAAACTAACGTTATACTATCGTAATCAATTGTATCGTGATTGTTTTGTTTGATAATGCTATAATTACGTTTCCAATAAGCAGCTGTGTGCCACTAAAGACAATGACCCCTGACACAAACACCCACATTTTTGAGTATCACAATTTCTTTTTGAAAACAATTTCATTTCATGATTGGTTCTTCAAATTTTTCTTTCAAATTTGTTAATTATTAGACTAGTACAGTACCACTAATGGAGATTGTATATTAGTATGTATATATTCTGCATTTTTTTGAAAGATGCAGCCACACAAGCACGCCCATCCGATGAAATTTAATTCAAGCTCATCTGTTAAACCAGCTAGTTGGAATGTCAATGTTCTGAAAAATAAGTTTGTGATGCTGATTTACTATTCTCAAAATCGTCTTTTGACTTTATGCGTTTGCAAGAGTCGTACCTATGTAGTGGTGACGTCTCGTTTCCTAGTAGTTTAGATATTTTGAATTCTCACATCAAGATTGATAATGAACAATAAACAAAATGGGGGCGGTGTTGCTGTTTTGTTAAAAAATGAATACAAGATAAATATACAAAATCGAAACTATCTCCAGTCTGTAGTACGTTTATTAAACTTCCACCATCGCAACAATGTGACAAAAGTTATCTATTGAAGCTGTTTCACGGGTATTTAGGTGGCTAAACCCAGGGGCGGATACAGGATTTTTTATGGGGGGGGGGGAGTCAAAACTATAAAATCGCCAATGGGGACCCCAAGAAACCCCTAGATCCGCCACTGGCTAAACTGTCCGTATCTCTATTGACAACCATTGAGGTCGAACGAGGAAAACATTACTTGGCTAAATGATGTCACTGTAGAACTCCCCTCGGAAAGCGGAACAGCTAAAATGCCAGGAAATGACCGCCTGCTACCATCAGTACTTTGCTATGGACCTCTTGGTATTTACTGTTGTCGCATATTTTCCCATAAATCCTACATGCATGGAAGCACAATTATTGTATATTTCTCTCAAAAGACTGTTAACAATATACACACACGTCTGAAGCAGACTTGATCACTTTACGAAAGTATACATTGGGAATACCTACTCCAGTGACGTCAAAGTGTCGCTCGACCTGAAGAATGGCTCCCACTGGAGTTACGTGTGGCCCAGAACACTAAATCCCGTGTTGGTTTAATAAACATTATCAATAGATGATGTGATGTTAGGAAATATTCTGCTTTTGTCGACTTTTATTTGCGATACTGTTTGGCGGCGCATGTCGCAAGTTTATGGGAGGAAACGTAGCTCCTCTGTGTTGATATACTAATATCAAAAAACAACAAATTAAAGGACACCAAATGTATAGAAATTACTAAAATATCATCCGTGATAAAGACTAAAGACACAAGCAAAATATGGACCCACTGTTAGGACAAGTACATCTACCAAATGCCATCCAAAATCTGTTTTATATTGTGTATTCTTCAAACAAATTTCCAGAATCATGGAATTCAAGCATTATAGTCCCAGTTCATAAGTCAGGATCTAAATCCAATCCATCAAATTGGAGAAGGATATCAATTTCAAGCTGTTTTGGAAAACTATTTACAGGCATTCTAAATACCAGGTTACCACTATTTATAGATCAACATAACATACTATGGTATGGTATTAGGGCAATGTGTACACAACTATCAAAAGTATGTACAGTAAAGTACAATACAAAGTAAACACTAATGGAGGTTCAACTGAAACATTTAAATCACATTCAGGCGTAAAACAGCTCTGTAATTTGAGACCAACATTATTCAATTTATGCATCAATGACCTTTCGTTCCAAATACATGCATTGTCATGCAATCAAGTCAGCAACATCAACTCATTTATATGGAGAACACGAATTATATATCTGTATGTTATTCCCTTTTTGTTTGTTTTGTTTTCCCTATTTTGTTCTTGTTATGTTACTGATGATCTCTCTGGAGACAGTGTTGTGTCTGATAAATAATACTACACCCAGGGTGACCGATGTCAGATAATATTAGCCTGACACAAAACCTTGCATATAGAAATGAACTACAATGCGCAGCTAATCGCCGAACCAGCCTAGTAAAAGGTGTTCTTAAAATGGATTGGTGAAATGTGACACGCGGACAAACAACACCTGCGGTAAATGGCGTTCAAATAAAGTGAATGTTCAGACGAAAATAACTGTTATCTATACTCTCAGCTTCAGGTCATGTCTTATGAATCACGCGTTTTTTGTAAGGAACTGCGTTTTGCCCCCAAAGTCACGCTACATTGAATACGACACTATGAACTATGGGTAATGAATCAACGGTGTTATTATATATTGGTGTTTCGAAGAATAGACATTTCTCGAGGTCATGTGATGTTTTCAACATTCATTCATTGGTCGGGAACCACCGCATGTGGCTCGTTACCTCGGCGTTCAGTCTCAATGAATAACGAATTTAGTTCTGTGGACGGTGAGTCAATATTTAGAGATATGCACAAAACTCGCACTTGACCTTACCTGTACAGACTCAACCTCTACATGAAGAATTCACAGTTAACGAAAAGTTAAGATTGAATCGTTCCTGCATCAGGTTTGTACTATAGTTGTTTTATTGTTCTATTTCCTTGTCGACGTATTATATAAATCCAAGTTATGTTGAAAGGGGATATTATTAGATACGAGAACGGTGGAGTTGCCCGGGGGGTGTTGGTTGTGTCTATGTATTTGCCGAAGATAGCATAATGTACTATAGTTGTCTGCGTATAGGTTAGTTAACGAGTGAAATGTTTACGTTTCGTTAAGATGCTTGGCTAAAGATTGAATTCCACCCGTACTTATTTCGTCAGATTCTCCAAATGCAAGTAAATATGCGTGCACTGCAGCGAACCACGAGTGTATATGATCGAGATATGCAATTACTGGAAATGAATGTATTGGATTGAAAATACATGAAAATAACCATCATTTTGTGATATCTGCAAATGCCGTATGACATTATAATAAATCCATATATGTAAACAAATAATCGCGTTATTGTGTGGGCTACGCTTTGAATCGGTCGTTTTATGATGTGCTTTTAATGACTCGATGTATCACTGGTGCATAACACCGGGTCTTTAAAATGGGACGGATATACAGCTCGAACTAGTTGTTTCTCGGACTAGTTCCTACTAAGAAACGTTGTCTCAATACGGGATAACGTTTTTGACAGGGTAGTGTACATCTGTATTGTCACAACCACCTGTGTACAATCACCGAGAGAATATTACTGAAATATGTGAACATTACAAGGTATACATTTATTGTTGAGTATATTGCAAATTATAACTTTATCAAAGATGCAACCCCCGTAATGTTTTTTCAAGTATCCGTGTTTTTTATTTTTTTTATTGTTTTTTTGATAATGAATAACGATAACTATAACCCCTAAATACACCTGACAACAAACTTACTGAATGAAAAGTCACATCACTGGCATATCCTGTTGGTTATAGCGGACATAATTCTATTGAAGTTAATGGCTATGATGACGCGTACAAGGACCAAAACACGAATTTGTTTGATACGCTTACCATATTTATTCACAGGGGATGAGATTCATATATTGTTATGAACGATGACAAGGTGATATCACTAAAGGTTCGACCGGGAAATGCTGCAGACACATTTATTCTCGGGACGGGGATTTTTTTGCTCAGGGTATATGAATTATTTTATGTCATATTATTACTGAAATGAATGTTAAATGCACGAACATATTGAACAGACTTAAAGACGCCACAAACATTGGCATGACATGTGTACTACTGCACAATATCTCTAACCATTCAAATGATGCATTGCTTAGTAAGTTTTAGAGAATGTCTAAATCAAAGGTCAATCTTTAACTAAGTTTCCCCCCTGCTGTAACCTCAATTGCACTCACACAGGTACATCTTATATATCATGCTGTCCATTCGTATATCTGTACTGGCCACATCACTTAAGTTGATATATTATGTGTTTGATCTGTCATACAGTGTTTATCTGTGTGGTAAATTATTATGCTGTGATTTGAACACATACAATCCTTCACAGAATACAACCAATTTGTTGTCCCGTCAGAGAAGACCGCGTCGTTAGGATCTCTCACGGGAACTAGGCATTTATAATCAAACGCTGTCGGGGTATTGTTCATTTTGTGTACTTAGGGCAAATTATAGAACAAACAAAGTACCGTTGAATTTCACGAACAAGCGTACTGACAATGAGAGCTTTCGCCAATTGATTTCGGTTTAATAGAATAGGCGTCGTTAACACAAAAGTTACAAAAGTCGTGTTCGCTATATATAGGTCAGTATTGTAGTGAAAGGAACAAATGACAACCAATATCAACCACCTCAATGCAAATTTGACAGTCAGGTGAAGTTTCTCACAAGTTTAATCGAAACGCAATTTAATTTTAATATCGTATACCTTCGCCTTGTTTGATATCACATCACATGAACTAATTCAAGGCCACGTGTTTATTACAGGTGTACATACGTTAGTTGATTGCAGTAACGATCGCTCAAGATGATATGGCCTGAGCGATACTGTCGAGGGCGGTGGTGCAATATCAGGGCATATGTGATTTTAATCGTTGCTATATGGCTGTTTGTTTTCCTGGATACTTGGATTAGACCGAAGCAACCAGAAAGGCAGCAATTTGGTAATATAAAGACTCAAAGGTAAGTTTTGTAGTACCACGTATCGAATCACAATTGGCGACAAAAAATGTCAATATTAATTGGCTTAATTGTATCAGTGTCGTTGAATGTCCAGGAACGACACCACTCGTTGAAGTTACTTTATTTGTAA